AGCCTTTTTGTGTGCATATGTCTTTCTTCCTACAGCATAGGTAGTCATTAGTTTTAAAGGCTGCACGAGCCACCTTTGCGCTCTGTTAATAGGTTCTGCACTGTTAGAAGCAGTTTACAAGCAGTCTGTTACAGATGCTAACAGTGCCTGGCACACAGTTAAGGGACAGTGTAAGTCACTGTTATCTGGGGTAATAGACAAGAAAACAGGGTCTGGGAAAGGAAGTTTGCTTGAGGTTCACTAAAGTAAATCAATAAAGTAAGTGACCGAGGCGGTTTGTGTCCCAGTAGCCCTAGGAAGCCTGGGCATTTGGGAGTCGATTCTTAATTATCTGTGGAGGTGGGTTGTGCCTATCTTGGAGCCCATGCCTGACTGTTGAGATCAGTGGCTAAGCTGTTTGCAGAAGTGTACAGTGTCAGGTTTTAAAGTTCCTGGTCTCAAGGGCTTCTGAGAAATACTGGGATGACTGAGCTACCTTAGATTTGATTGGACAGGTAAAATACATGTATTGAGAGAGAGACAGAGAGAGAGTGTGCGCTGGTGATCAAATTCAGGGTCTCATGCATGCTCGGAAAATATTCTTCCATTGAGCCACACCTCTAGCCCCTCATTATTTTATTGTTTTTGACAGGGTCTTGCTATGGTGCCCTGGCTGACCTCCAACTGCTGGACTCCTACCGCAGGCTCCTGAGTAGTGGGGAGAACAGCCATACTGCACTGTGTTTAGCCTGACATTATTATTTTGATTCTCAAATTGCTGCAGGCTCTGTCAAGCTAGTTTGTGTGTTCTTTTGACAAGTTTCCTCCGTTCCTTGAACGTTTCTTTATTTTGTGCTCAAGAGGAATGTTTCAGGCTTGCTTTGTAATTTTGGTCAGTATTGTGTGCAGTAGGGGAAGTAAAGAATAACTATCTTTTTCTCTCCCATGTTTGTTACAGGAAACGTGATTATGAAAGTTATTTATGCTCCCTGCTGCTCCCTGCAGAATCCCGAAGCTCTGCTTTTGCACTGAGGGCCTTCAATGTGGAACTGGCTCAGGCTGGTATTAAGATACCTTAAGCTCTTACTTGCAAGATGATGATACAATGTACTTAATGCTAAAGGATAAAGAAATTATGGTAGTTGTAATTTATACCTGAGATGTGTTTAAGGTTTCTACTGGTAGTTTTCTACCAGTACTTTTTCCTGCTATTTAGACTTAATTCAGTACCAAAAATAAAAGTAGCTAATGACCTTAATGTTTCTGGAAATTGCTGTCTAGAGTTTTAATTTCTTTTTCTGAGGATATTAACACTGTAAAGTTCAAAGTACACATTTGTCTGTTGATTGAATAGGTTAATCACAGTAGGACTGTGTATTTTCTCTGGTAATTGCATAATGTACATGTGTATAGCAATTTTTTGAAGCAATTTTTATTTATTTATTTATTGTTTTGTTTTGTTTTGTTTTTGTTTTCTGGTACTGGGAATCAAACTCACGACCTTGTGCTTGCTAGGCAGACGCTGTGCCGCTGAGCTAAATCCCCAGCCCCTGAAGCAATTTTTAAATTGAAGTTTTATCTTTAACGTGAAGTGGGGAAAGGAAGCAATTCTAGCAAACCCAGATCTTAGAGTATATTCAGTTTTGTGTAAGAAACAAAGAAGTCTTTTTTCTTCAAATGTAGTAAATGGTGTGGATATAAAACAAATTGAAATGGGAGCTAGAAGTGGGGGAGTTTAGGTAGAATGATCTTGGTCTTCTCGTAATTGAATGGAGAGGTCAGATACTGGGACCGGAGGGGCTGGGAAGGGTACAGCGTTTTGAAGAGAGTGGCAGATCTGGCGCAGGTTCTGTGTTGAACGTGATAGGAAGGGAGGAGACAAACGATGTACCTACAGCACCAAGGCACAACTGAGATCACAACCCTGAATCTGCAAAATCTGTACTAGCTGTTTTTTCCTCTGGTGTATTCCTGTCAACTGTGAGTCAGCGTTTTTCACCTTATCCTTTCTCAGGTATAAATTGTACATCAGCATGTTCACCCAGTCACAGTTTTTATTTTATTTTATTTCTTCAGTTACTGGAGACTGAACCCAGGATCTCACACATGCTCTGCAGGCAGGCTACCACTGAGCTGAAAAGACCCTGCACTCAGTGACCAAATAGATAACTGCATAATGTATCAGATGAGATAAGTGCTGTGGAGGGTACTGCAGCAGGATAAGGGGCCAGAGAAGGCTGAGGACAGCAGCAGTTCGTATTTAACGCAGGCCGGTCAGGAAAAACCGCGCTGAGAGGGTGGCGTTGGAGCTGAGATGTGAAGGAGGTGCAGAGTGAGCTGCGCGGGTATTTGGGCAGTCTTCTAGGTGGAAGGAACAGTAAGCACACAGCTTCTGAGGTGCCCTGTGCCCGGTACATTCAGAGAACATGAAGGCCAGTGTGGGCAAGCAGGGGTGGGAGGGGAGTGTAGGAGGAGATCAGATTAGATCTGACTGGATACTGGGGCTTGGAGACCACTGAGCTCCTTTTGGCCTTTACTCTCAATGGGGAGCCACTGGAGAGTCCTGAGCAAAGAGAGACATCACCTCTGGTCATGTGTTTAAAAGGCTCACCCTGCTGCAGTACTGCTATAGTGTAAGCCACTGAGACCCGACCATTGAACTTTGCTAAGAAATCTACCCTTCCCAGAATCATTAAACAAACAAACAAATAAACAGACAAACACTGTTTGTTTGCAGTGCTGGTTGACAAGGCCGGGACTTCGTATGTACTAGGCAAAGGCTCTACCACTAAGCCACGCCCCTCCTCCACCCTGACCCCCTGAAAAACTATTGGAGAATAATTTTATTCTTTTTTTGGCGGGGGGGGGTGGTGGTGGGGGCGTTTCTGGTACCAGGAATCGAACTCATGACCTTGCGCTTGCCAAGCAGGTGCTGTGCCGCTGAGCTAAAGCCCCAGCCCTTGGAGAATAATTTTACACACAGAAAAGGATAATACAAATAAGATCCATTACCTTTTTGTCAATATTTTGCCCCATTTGATACCTGGGTTTTTTTTGTGGTACCGGGAATCGAACTCATGACATCACGCTTACCAGGCAGACGCTGTGCTGCTGAGCTGTATCCCCGGCTCATTTGCTTTGCATTCTGTATATACATATATTTTTTATTAGAACATGTATGTAGTACATCGTGCTCACATTCCTCTTGAGTTGGTACATGTATATAACACATCTTAATTTTTTTTTAAAATTCTCTTTTCTTTCTCTCCCTCCCATTCTTCCTATGTCTTGGTCCTCTTCCTATGTGCAAAAGGTCTGTCTCATTGTTTTCTATTACCTATCTTTTATTTTGCTCCTCATTTATGTTTTGGGTTTCTCATATAAGATACATACAACAAAATTCACTCTGTGGCGTATAGTTGTACAGGTTCTAAAAAATGTGGGGTCGTGTGTTCACACTGTAATCACGATAGACTACTGTTCCATTAATTAATATATTCATGATGGGGGCATAATTCATATGTCTTGCTGCCAGGCACCCTGAACCACCAGAGGTAACGCACATGACTGCCTCATCAGGCGGCATGGGGCAGTCCCATCGTGTGACACAAGCTGCTTGATGGGACAGTGATGCGTGTACCACCAGTGGTTCAAGCCAGTGGGAGCATACTGACTCAAAGAATCGCTTCAAAAATGGTCTTTGAGACTGTACACAGTGCATTTGTTAAAGTTGTAACCCTGTTTATAGGTGAAGGACTCAGTTTCTGAGAAAACAATTGGATTGATGCGAATGCAGTTTTGGAGAAAAACTGTGGAAGATATATACTGTGACAAGCCACCCCATCAGCCTGTGGCCATTGAACTATGGAAGGTAAAAAAAAAAAAAGAAGAAGAAACGGCTGCTTTTCGTTTGTGAGAGCCTACTTTTTGTGATGATGGTGGTATATACCCTGAAAATTGTCATAAGCTAATGTAATGTTCGGATCCATGTTAGTTTTGGCAGAGGAGTTTACCATCATCCACTGATAATTTGAAGAGGTGTTTGGTATGTTTCTTTTTGTGTGTATGGGGGAGTGTAGTGAGCTTTTAAGGCAGGGCCTTGCTCTATAGTTGAGGCTGGCCTTTGAGGCTGGCCTGGACTCAATACGTGGCCCCAGGTTGGCCTCAGATTTGTGATCTTCCTGCCTCAGGGTCTGGTGTATTTCTTTATTAAGGGAAAAAAAGGATTTGGTGTCTTATGGATTGTTTATGTATTTCTTCATGTTTAGTTGTAGAATTGAAATCCTGCAAATTTTGATGCAGTGAAAGGTCAGTTTTCTATTCTGTCTGCCCAGTAGCTCCTTACACCAGTGTCTGGGCTTTAAATCTAGATTCTGGACTGTAGAACAACATACATTAGTCTTTTGTGAAAGGAGACCCACTCAGCATATTCCACAGACACATCTAAAACTACTTTGTAGACCTGCCCATTTGTGGATGAATTTTGGCTATGAAGGGAATGGGAACCTGTAGGCTAGAGCAGTGATGGCCAACCTTTTAGAGCTTTCAGTGAGACCAGCAGCCTGGGCTAGAGTACTGTTTGTGAAGCTAGATGTGTGCAGTGAATGGTTTTATATCGAAGCAGGCATGCAGATCCCTCATTTGTAAATGACCATGCATCGTTTAGAAATATGCTAAACCAGTGGTGGCAAACCTGTGGCATGGGTACTGTAGCCTGCTGTTTGTTATCATTGAAAGCCCTGAAAGGTTCGCCAACACTGTTGGGTAAACTGTGAATGCAGGAAGGGAACTAGGTGTCTTTTGTCACTGATCCGTGACCCCATTGTAATGTGATAAGAGCCAGAAGAAGGCTTCTGTAACAGGAGCGGTCGAGAGATCTGACAGTGGTACGCCTCTTCTCAGGGGTGTGTGTCAGCAGAGGCAGGCCTGGTTCTGAGGCCCCAGATTGACCCCACTGAGCCCCAGTAAAGATTCCCTGGCCCCCACCCTGGGAACTGAGAAGAAAAAGTGGATGGGAAGCTGTGAGTATTAGATTAGTTGTTTACCTCTTCCCCTTCCACTTCAGGAGCCTCAAGCCAGGTGACTCAGAGTAGAGAAAAGTTTCTCTAAACTCCAGAAACCCTTCCTGTTTGTTATTTTGCACATAAGCCTGACTACAGTGGAGGTTTGTAACATTTGCATCAAAGATTCTGGCCCTAGCCGAGCATGGTGGTACATGTCTGTAATCCCAGCACATGGGAGGCTGAGGCAGGAAGATCTCCATGAGTTTGAGGCCATTCTGGGCTACATAATGAGTTCAAGGCCAGCCTGAACTACATAGTGAGACCCTGTCTCAGAGAGAAAGGAAGAAAGGAAGGGAGAAGGGGAGAAAGGGGAAAGAAAAGAAAAGAAAAAGATCAATCAATCCTGGCCTTTGTCAGGAGTATGGTGGAAGAGCAGAGATTCCTTTAATGCAAATTTATCTTTCTTTGGCTTCTCTTTAATTTATCTTTCTTTGGCTTCTCTTTAAAAACTAGAGGATACATCTGAATTACAGCATGTTTACATATGTGCCAATTTAGGATTACCAGTTTGTCCTATTTTAATAAGATGTTCACATTGTGTGTGTGTATAGGGTACCAGGAATTGAACTCAGGACCTCATGCTTGCCAGGCAAGTGCTGCTCTGCTGAGCTATATCCCTGGCCCCAGATGTTTATTCTTTTTAAGCAGTATCGGGCTCAAACCCAGGGGTGCACTACCACTGAGCAGCCCTTTTTATTTTGTTATTCTGAAGCAGCATCTTGCCAGATTGTCCATGCTGGCCTTGAACTTGGGATCCTCCTGCTTCAGCCTCCCAAGTAGCTGGGAGTATAGATGTTCACCACTGAGCCTGGCATTACGGAGTCTTTGAAGTCAGATTCTGTTACAGAGAGGGGCTGGTGACATTATGTTGTCTAGAGAGCACTTTCCTGCTATAGTGTTTCACTGGTATTTTCAGGGTACAAAATAGTTGAGTATTTATAATCTCCTCGCCCTGCCCCTAGTCTCACTAAATTGCTAAATTGCCCAGGCACAATTCTTCTTCCTCAGCCTCCCAGAGTGCTGGGATTGCAGGTGTGTACCACCATGCAAATATTTGTCATTTCTTTTTTTTTTTTTTTTTTTTTTGGTTTTTCTCCGGTACCGGGAACCAAAC